TTGTAGCACAGAGATCATTCACTCTTTCAAAAGATGTAAGGGAAGGTGTGGATATATGCTTTTAAAGATTGACATCGAAAAAGCTTATGATCATGTTCGTTGAGATTTTGTTGTAGGACATTTAAAGGAATTATAATTACCTTCAAACTATGTAAAACTAGTCTCTTAATGTTTATCTACAGTAGTAATGCAAGTTATATGGAATGGTGAGAAAGGCCCGCAGTTTACCCTATCTAGAGGAGTTAAACTAAGGATTCTTTGTCCCCTTATTTATTTGTTTTGGCTATGGAGAAGTTAGGCCACATGATTCAAAATGAGGTTAACAATGAAACCTAAATCTTGTTTTGATTGAAAAAGAGTGGAGTCGTTACTTCACACCTCTTTTTTATGAATGATCTCCTCCTTTTTGCCAAAGCTAATTTGGATCAAGCAGGATGATTAAAGCCTGTCTAGATGATTTTTGTTATATCTCTAGTGAAAAGGTTAATAGTGTAAATTCGAGAGTTTTCTTTTCTGAGAATGTTAAGAGCTCTCTTGCTAAGGAAATTAACAATTTTCTTGAATTTACTCCTATTAATGATCTTGGTAAGTACTTAGGTGTCCCTCTACATCACAAGCGGGTTTCTGAAGATACCTTTCAATATGTTTTGAATAAGACGGATAGCAAGTTATCATCATGGAAAGCTAATAATTTGTCTTTGGCTGCTAGACATATGTTGGTCTCCTTTATTGTAGCAATCTTCCTAGTTACACTATGCAATCAACTTCGTTGCCTCTTCACACATGCAAATAAATTGATAAGAAGTGTCATCATTTTATTTGGGGAGAAACAAACTCTAAGAAGAAAATACATTTAGTTGCTTGGGAGGATATTTGTATGTGAAAGGAGGATGAAGGCTTGGTTTTAGGATGGCGCATCATCAAAATAAAGCTTTCATGATGAAATTGGAATGGAACTTCATTAATAAGAGAGATTCTCTATAGGTTCAACTTATAAGGGAGAAGTATAAATGTGGTAATGATATTATTCCCAAGGTTGCAACTCGAAGAAGTGGTTCTAGTACTTGGCGTGGAATATAAGATGCATGGGAAGAAACTTCTAATAGCATTACATGGTGAGTTAAATGTAGGATGCAGGTTAAATTCTAAAAGGCATGAGGCTTTGATTACTTATACACTAAAACAAGTACCTGATATGCTTTGCGAAGAAATAGTAGATAAATTCTTGAATCCATTTGGTAACAAGAATAGGATGAAGTTTGTTGGGTATCTTCCTATAGATACACTCAATTAAGTTTTTAAGATTTCATGTAGTAATATGGAGGATGTACCAAGGTAGAGATGGTCTAATAATGAGGAGTTCACAACTAAATCTGCTTACATAAAGTTGTGTTCGAATCCTGGTTCTAATCACAGATCATTATGGTAGAAGATCTAGAAAGCCCTTATCCCTCAGAGAAATAAAATTTTCTTATGGCTATCTGTGAGAAGTAGGCTTATGAAAAACTCTTTGCGTGCGGCTAGAGGACTCCAAGCTAATGATTCTTATTATTTGTGTCTGACGTGTCAAGAATATACTTCTGTTTTACGTGATTGCTCTTTAGCGTCTAAGTGTTGGGAGGGATTGGTTCCTAGAGAATTCATATTGAAGTTCTTATCTTACAATAATCATATTGATTGGATTAATTGGAACTTATATAAGCATGAAGAGGTGAAGGGCGTTTAATAGGGTGTTTCATTGACGTTGTTATGTTGGCAATTATAACTTTGTAGAAATCTTAAAGTGTTTTAGGGTAGGGAATTGGATGTTTAGAGGGTCATAGCTCAAGTGCAGGCTATGTCTCTTTAGTCTAACCCAAAACCAATGATCGAAAAGTCACAGTATGAAGGTGATCGTTGGATTGCCCCTGGATTTGGAGCGATTAAGTTCAACGTTGATGGGGCAAGTTAGGAAAATGATACAATGGCGAGATGTAGGGGTATCGCCTGTGATCATGCAAGGCGATTCCTTGGCGGGTTCCTGTTTCATATCAAGTATGGGAGTAGTCTTCATGCTGAATTATGAGGGGTGCTTTGGGTTCTCAAAAGGGCCTAGGATTCAACATAGAGGACTATTACGATTGAATCAAATTGCATGGAGGCAATTGAAGCTATTAACACAAATAATTTCCCCTAACATCCTAACTAAGATATACTCTCAAAAATCCATAATTTGTTAAGTAGAAACTAGTCTATATCTATTCAATGGTGCAAAAAGGAAGCAAATGCTGTTGCTGATAAACTTGCAAAAGCAGCCTTATCAAGACAAGATGGATTTGTGCCTTTCTCGAATCCACCTGAGTTCATTTCTGAGTTACTAGCTTTTGATGTAAGGGTCTAGTAACCTTCTGCTTTATTCTCATAAAAAAAAAAGAGAAAAGAGAAACAAAAGAAAAGGAAAATTCTAAATTAAACGGTTGGTTTAGCCAAGCTTATATTAATTAATTCTATCAGTGGTCATGAATCTTTCACATCTTTAAAATGACAATCTATATAATATATGTAATTTAATCCTATTGTACTATTTACTAGGGTGAGCAAAGTTGAATGGAAATAAAAAATAAATCAAATTTTTGGTATTTGATTTGATTTGATTTTTTTTGAAAGTATTTTGATTTATCAATTTAATTTGATTAGTAAAATTAAAAATGAATAGACCAAGACAACCAAAATATCATGCCTACTTAATTTATTAATTTATAAATTATACTACTTTCATCTCAAATTATAAGATATTTTTAAATAAAACACTTACCAATAATGCTCATTAAATATACTTTATAATTTAATTTTTTTTAAAATAAAAATATAAACTTTCAAAAATAACCTTCATTTAATACTATATTTAGAAAAGAATATTACAAAATAGATAATGTAATAGGAAGCGCAATATTGAAAAAAACATGATCAATGAAACTTTATTTTTGTCAAAGTATCTTATATTTTAAAATGTCAAATCTCTTTTAAAAGTGTCTTATGATCTAGGATGGAGGCAGTATTTAGTTTAGTAAGACTTTTGCATATATAACCCATCCAGTTTATTATATTTGTTAATGACATACCATTATATATCAATGACACACCCCTTTTAAATTTTCAATGATAAACTCCTTATATATCAACGTGAATCGGTCATATTTTTAAATTTTCAAAAATTTGGTCCATATTTTCTAGGTAAAAGATATTTTTCAACAAATGGGCTAATTTATCCTTTGTTTTATTAATTACTTTATTTTATTTCATTCTTTTTAATTTTATACTTACATAAAAGTAAATATATAATTTGATAAGTTGAAACCCCGACCCCTTATTGAAATGGGTACTATCACTTTACGAACTTAATTTTATATATAAGCATTGTCTATTTTAGTAAAAAAAGTAACAAAATTGACCCAAGTCCAAACAACTCAACATGAAGTCCAAAATTGAATTAATCGACAATTGAATTGTGAAATTTTAATTTGGTTCTTGTTTGGTTTGATTCTATTCATATTTCTAGCGTTGTTCAGTCAATTAGTTTTACACATTTTGTCACCAACCGATGCTCAATCCTACTATTTACTGGCTAGGGTGAAAAGATTGAATTTGATCCTATTCATATAACACTATATTTTTTTTCTATATTCATCTTTACCTTTATAATCTTATTAAATATTAGAAATAATTTTTTTTTGTTCTTATTAAGAGCAGATGTAACAACTTATTACATTTTAAGATAAGATTAATAAATTTTAAAGTTTCTTTTTGTTTTGATAAAACAAAAGTGAGCTATATAAATAAAATAAGAGGGGTATATAAATAAATCTCTTTCACGCAATTTTTTTTTTATTTTTGCCAGACGCTATTATGATTAGTTGAAATTAAATTGACATCTTTTGACTTTGTTACACTCTCAATCCTCCAAAAAAAAAAATGTTGTTGCTCATGCTTGATTTTATCTTTCTTTTCCATATTTACCCTTGACTATTCTCTTATCATTACCTTGTTCTTTCACTGTTATTTAATTGGACCGCTTAAAAATGCTTTGCAGTGGACAGGCCGGACAGCCAATTAAAATTTGATGGAGATGATATGGATTTGAAACTTTAAATTTGTGGTTTTTCAATTAATAAAACTTCCTTTAACAAAAATGAATTTAGACCGTCCAATGTGACGAGCACTCTATGCTTTTCAAAATGATGGGCATGGAAGGCACTTCCAACTAATTATATCCAAACACAAATTCTCCGCATAGAATATGATATTTTTTTCAAATACAAGGGTAAACATTAATTAATGTAATAATTTAACACGATATTAAAAATCAATTACTTAAAAGATACGCACACGAAAGTGCAATAATGGGTCAAATAGAAGCCCATTTAAACAAACAACGGAGAATTATAAGAAAATTATTCACCTAATCTCTAATTGAAATCTAATCAAATATACATAATTGTTGTCTATTTGTAGCCAAACCAGGATTTGGATCCTCCCATACCCTCTTAATGATGTCAGATTGTTAATTATGATATTAAAATAAATATACTAATGATTTAATTATTATCATACCTAAGCATTATAAACATATTTTCAAATGCACTTAACTCATACTAGTGAATGATATATTTATTTTAATGCTGTAATAAGCAATCTGATTAATTAAATGAATGGATAGATGTGATTAAGTATTTAAATATGCATTAAGGAAGAATATGGAGAGGATCTAAATCCAGCTAAACCAAACCTTGGGCTATATAACTTTTGCTTTGAAACTTGTACACGTTTATCACTGAGTTTTGATATTGATTTTAAATTAACCTCCTTTGTTTTGTTTTGTCCTAACATTTTGATCGCGTGCGTAATCAATGTATGCTACAACTACAAGTATTCATTAAACTATAATTTGAGTTCCTTTATTTAAAGAAGTGAAGCTTAGATAATATAGGAAATTATGCAAGAAGCTAAGATATATATATATATATATGGCAACGCCAAAAGACTTTATTCCTCATTATAAGTACATGATGACTTACACTATGTAATATATATACTTGATACAAACACGAGATACAAAAGGGCGAATACAAAAACCTCCAATTTTAATAATCAAGGGAACAGACCAGGAAAAAAAAACCCTCACAAGTTGCCTTTAACTTGAAGCCCTAATGAATGAGCAATGTCGACCCTAGTTGATCCCCTAAAAAACAGATACCTGATAACCGTTTTCAGATATCCATATGACTAAAACAAAGGAGGTTTCAAGCTAAGTAAGGAAGAGTTAAAAATTTAAATTAGTTAGTAAGACAAAAACTAAAAAAAAAAAAAAAAAGGATTGTGCTACGAAGCTACAAAGACCGAGAATAATCGTAAGGATACAGGACACGACAAAATTACAGTGTCTGTGTATAAGTTCGTCGTGATGATGATAGTCTACCAATAACAGATTCAGAAAATCTTTTAATTGGCAATTGTGAGATCGTTAATCTCTCTGGTAAGTGCTGGAATACAGCTTGAACTTCGAGCAATCCCACCAAGTTTGTTGGAACCTGCTTTGTGATCTCTAGGGCTAATGGACTTAGCCCTAACCTTACCCTCCAACTTGTTCTTCTTCAACATCTCCTTCATGGCCTCAGCTTGAAACAGAACAGGAAAAGCCCTACCATACTTGTTGAACCTAACACACGCGCTCATGTGTGCGTTTAGGGCTTCCTCTTTCTTCCCTCCTTTCTTCCCCAATTCTTCCTTCACTGCCTCAGCACACAGCCCGCACACCCACTTCCCCAAGAACTTGTCCCTCACGCGCTCTATGTACTCCTGCGTGCACTCCTCGCTCATCCCGCAGCACTCGCACTTGGCGTCTTCAACCTCTGAGATTGGTGGCAGACCCTTCAGATCATCTAACCCTTCTTTGCTTAGCTCGAAGGAGATGTCGGAGATTGTTCGTTGAAGGTGGTGGTCCGAGGACAGTCTCGGCGGCTTCGACATGTTATTAACATTGTTGCTGTTCCTGGAGAATGGGCATGGCAAGGATTCTCCATGGGGTGCCATGTCAGGGATAAGCTAGCTAGAGGAAAATGATGACACTTTTTGTTTTGGGAGTTTGAAAAGAGAAGTGTCAACACGAGTTTGAAACATGCAGTAACTCAATGGTTTTAGAAGGTTAACGTACGGTTGGTATTTATAATGGTTGAGGGTTTGTAACTGTGATGAGCTCGTGTGGATGTCGAAGATTCGTGTGTCAGTTTCAATGGTCGTGAAACTGCTAGATTTTTCTTGAGGAGATGAGAAAAAGGAGTCACAAATCTTAGCTAATCTTAAAACTTAGAGTAATTAATGAAAGTGTTATCTTTTTATATATGAAAAAGATTTTTTTTTTTAATAGTGAAATGAACTTCCATGGCTGCTGTGGCTCCATGAAATAAAGGTGACTGCATTTTGCCAAGTTCATATGAATGATTTTTCTTTCCTTGGCCAATAATGTTGCAAGGTGAATGCATGCCTTTTCTTTCCTACTTTTTATGTAACTTTAATCAGGGTCATTTAATGCATGTGAAAAACAATTTTGTTAAAAATAAAAGAAACAAAAGCTAGCCGCATATCACTTAATATTGGTAGTAATTATTAGTAGATTTACATATATAATAGACTATCAAGTATTTTGTCCCACAGAAATAACAAGATATTAGTCACTATTTTGAAATGACATGATAACAGTGTTCATGCCTTCATGGACCATGAATAGTTATGAACCACCACATTAATTACCAAGAAAACTAGTAAACATTATACTGATACTTCCCCACCGTTTGGTTAAAGTGAATATTAAGAATCAATCTGTGATAAAGTAGCTTGCTTTAATTTGATGCTGAAAAGTTCTGTAATAATTACCATTGATTTGGTGGTCCAATAGATATTAAGCAGGAGCCAACCTGTGAGGTATTCACATGGTGGCAGGGGGAAACCATATGCGAAATCCTTTTTCTCTCTCCTTTTGCAGTAAAGTTATGAGATGAGATGAAAGAAAGAGACTTGCAAGGTCATATCATGTCATGTGGCCTCCCCACCACATATATGAACTCTATAACTTCACGAGCAGCTTAACCAAGCCATCAGAAAGGAAACGAGAAGAAAAAAACATGAAGGTAGTTGAAGTTGGTTGCAGAGAGATCTTAATAAGATAAAGTTTCAGTCTCTTTCTGATGTATGGTTTTCTCACAAAAGATTTACGTATTATTATTTCAGTCTCCTGAACTAGATTTTGAACTCAGGTGACGTAAATTTATTAGTACAAATCCGTTCAAATTGTGTGTTTTGATCATAGTTTTTCACCCCCTTCTTTACTATAAATTAATTTTGCATGTAGATGACCATTGTTCTTCCGTGAATTGTCTGTGAAACGTAACTAATAAAGTATCTTGAGGAATGATATCTCAATAAGTCAATACGTTTCACTAAACCATAATTAAATTTGAGGTCAAGTAGAATGGTTTTTTATTTTTCTGTTCCAATTTCTTGTTCAATGCTCTCCTAGCACCAAAACATAATGACGTAGCATGTTATTTCCAAATTTAAGGGATCATTGTGCTCCAACTTCAACTACCCTTTTCCTTTTTTGCTAGATATAAACATAAATACTTTTTATCATACATTTTGGTGTAAAAATCAGCTTGCCTGTGTCATCAGCTTGAGGGAATATGCGTCTCATCAAGCCATACTGGAGGCGAGTTTTAAAAAGGAATTTACAGATACAATTCATTGCATCAAAATTGTTAACTTCTTTTAAGATATGTAAAAATTTAATCATGTCTTGGACTTGTTTTCAAAATGTAAGCTGAAGGAAGATCAACCTGCCTGCGTTATCAGTCTGCACTATTTTAAAAATATTGAATAATACAAGAACAACTTTGTCACCCCATCAAGTAAATTTTGTTACAAGAATCATATCATACAATATTGAATATAAATTAAATAACGAAAACACTGAACAACAAACTGGATCTCATCAATGCAAATCTCTTGCTTGACACTTCGCTTTTAGTTGCATGCTATGTGTCACGTTTACTTAGTTGTACTCTGCCGATGGTCTAAACTCTACATTTTGCCCGATATACCTCATTTAAGTAAATACTATTAATCATTATCTCTAGATGTTATTGGCGGTTCATGCTATATAACCTTGAACGACACTTTCAAATCTTATAGTGCGTCCTAGCATAGGTGTCATAGTTGCCAACATGTCTCTCATTCCTAGAAATCTATTATCTGCATCACACCACAGGAGAACGCAAAGAGGGGGGGGGGGATGATGATGGATAAGGATCTGAACTAAACAAACTAGCATATTGTCTTCATGTAAAATCCAAGTCTTGGCGGAATATAAATACAGTAGAACAACCAACAAAACACAAGGTCTTGAGAGTACAGAGTGATTCATAATCTACAACACTTGTTCAATTCTCAGTCTCTAGACATAACATCAAACAAAGGACCAGTTCATAAACATAAAACAGATACAATGAGCATTCTCTTCCTCATTCAGCACCTTCCAAGCCACCACTCTCTCGTAGGAGACAGGCCGCCCCATGCTCGAGAGACAGATACCTCCTTGCAGGCAAGCAAAACCCTGTCCCAAGAGAAATCATTATAAACCTTGAAATGCTATTGGCAGCACATTCAGTTTTGAAATCATTTAGCAATAGCCAACCTGTTGTATAATCTGAGGAAACTCGGAACAGAGGATTTTTCGTCCATGTTCATCAAATATCTTCTCCAAAACGATGTCTTGCAGGGCAACTAAGGTAGTCTCCAGCATATCAAGCCCTGCCTGGTTTGCAAAAGTGAAGACGGGCAATGCCTGCAAATAGTCGAGTTCGGTAAATGTATTTCAAGGGGAGGAAGTATCAGAAATGCTTGAACTATATCACTGAAATCTAGCAAGTTATGCAAATTGTAGATACAGAGCAGAGGCACGATACTTGAGACAGCTACTGTGAAAACGAGTAAATTTCACGCATACCTTCAGAGAGCAGCACAATATTGCATCTGAGTGATGCCACAAGGACTTGAGGATGGAATCATTTCCTTCATTACTAGATTTGAGTAGCTCCACACCCAAGTAGCACCTAAAACACACAAAAGGTCAACCAAAAGTATGTGTCTGAAATACTAGCTTCAGCCTCCAAAACTAAAATGTTACAGTTCAGCACGGTTTACAGTTAACATAAGATAACAAAGAAGTACGAATAAAGATCCCCTAACTATTGCTTAACCACACTAGCCACTCTAGCAGTAACCTTATTTGTCTTTAAAATCACAATCTTAATAGCTACAGTATATGGGCTAAAATACAATTTATTCCTAATCCTAGTGGCAATCTTGAAGATCAACACTATGCGTCAAATGCATCTGTTATAGAAAACTATGACTTACTAACCTATAACTGTTACATATCCAACGAGCAAGTGTCTGTGCTTCAGGAGTACCCAGTGGTGACCTAAGCCCAGCTTGAGCATTCAGATGTGAAGGAGAAAGTGCTAATGCCACCCTTTGGACTGATGATATAATGCTACGAACATATTGCCGTGCCATTGTTGCAACATGATCTTGCATGTGACTTTCAAATGCAAATTCAAATGCTATAGTCATAACAGATCTCATGCAGCCAGAGTTTCCAGCATAATCATTGGATTGTTTATTCCCAGTGGGGCCAATGTCAAGTGCAGATGCAAGATCAAGAGTGCGATTAGGACTGGATGCTTCCTGCAAAAAGGTTTCATTGCAAAAATTAAAAGATATGCATGAAAAGGAAAACACCAACAGATTCTACTGCTTTTAAAGCAATCAAGGCTAACCTTCCCAGAATCAAGAGGAATAATGCGGAATCCTGAAGGTAAAAGTGGGGCATCATCAGCAAAGGATGCGTCAATTGGAGCAAATATAAGTTCAGCACAAGTGCCAACAGCATTCTCATCCATTCCACTGCAGAGCTACCGACATAAAACAAAAACAAAATACAAGGATGTGAGCAAAAAAAAGCACAATTAGAAATCAAACGACAGACAACAAAATACAAGAATGTGAGGGGGGGAACACCACTAGAAATCAGATAACAGACGGCTTGATTTTTGGATCACATATCTTGTGAACAGTTAATACAGTGAGGAAGCTTAAGTTACCCCACAACTTTGAACTTTGATTTACATTCCTAGTTTTCTACATTGCAAAAGCTTGAGATAATGCAAGGTATCACCATATAAATATACTATAAGATAGAAAAATACTTTTGGACATTAATCAAAATCCTCCAAGTGTTGTCATCTTTTGTGATTGATATATGATTCAGTTTTCACCCAAAAAAAAACAGCAAGTGTTCCAAGCATATTACCCAACACAAATTTATTGCTGCACCAAAAAAAACATGCATTCCATTTATTGCATTAATGAAACAGTAAAGAATAAAGTAAAAGAAGTAAATAGAACTTACTTGCAAAAGAAACACCTCTCTAGGCATGATGGCTTCTTCAGGAGAATGAGCTAACCCTTCCAATTTAATCACTTCTAGAAACTAAAAAGCATAAAGGGGCTCAAAAAAATAATCAGAAAACAGGATCATTGAATTCTTAAATAGTTATAGAGTATATCATGCACCAGTTCTCACCTCTTCATGCTCAATAGTGTGCGCCAGAGGAAGTATAACTTGACCTCCATAATTTCCTACGCGAGATCCTGGTAAGCTGCATGGACCAACTTTAATGGCAGCAGCTGAGTAAGCATCCATGTTGTTGTCTGCCCATTCCGATCTGTGCTCCCGTAGGAACCTTAGGAGAATTGCTGGAGGCACATTCTATACCAAGAAAGTCAAAGATGACAACAAAATATATAAGAATAAAAGTTAAAGGCGAATATAAACTACTGAATATGTTAAATAAGCAAAACTATTTCAAGTATTTTTTTTTTATAACATTTAGTTGTTTGGCATGCTCACTTTATGCTTTTAAGAGGTTTTGATGAAACTTATAAACAACCAGACCTGCAATAGCATTGATGCTTTGGCACATAAGACAGCATTACTGATAGATGGAAATCCATTGGCAAAGGAAAGATCAAGTCCCATTAACTTGTCAGGAGATGAATTAACCATGATTGTTACGTCATCTATACCATCATTGCCAATCATTGACCACCCCTCATCGCTAAACCCATTGAGTGCCTCATTGAAACCCCTGGCATAAAATACATGTGAGACCATAATTTTGGATGTAGAGAAATTACACAAGAATCATGCCCAAGATGTATAATATACCAACCGGTTCAGTCTCTGGCTTAGTGCCCGTAGTGCTGCTGGTCGCCTGCCCCACCCAGTGACATTGGACTGAGATACCTCATGAGATAATTGTCTCAGCTGTCGTAAGGCCTGAATGAGGAGAAACATGTGAGCATAAAACAATAGATGTAGCAACATATCATGTTAACAGCATTTTACTCTGCTAAGGGTAAAATAACATACTGCCATCGTTTTCTTCTGAGCTAGCACTGTCGATGATTCATATAGGGGCGTAACACTTCTGGCACACTCCATGGCTAATAGTCATAAAGAGAAGCTCAAGTTATTCATTAGTTTATATTAAGAAGAAGAATAAATTACACAGGTCTTCAAATCTGTAGTTTTAAATGGTCTAATTTTAACTAAAGTTACACAACTTCCCTTTATTTTCAAAATACAAATATAAATTTAAGTCCAGGTTTCATCTACAATTAAAATTCAAATACTCTCCATTAACCCAAATATTCAAATATGTATTATCTTCACATTAGCACAACTGAATGAAAAAATATTTCATTTAAATTTGACAAAAAAATATTTAAGATAATTAAAGGTATTTTGGTCCCAAAAAAAAATTTAAAATAAGACTGAACTATAGCAAAACTTTTTGCTTCAAAAGTTAGTTACAACTTGAAGATAGAGGAGAGTCCCAAGTAATTTAATCAAAACTCAAGGGAAGTTCGTATAAATCCATGAGAAAATTAGTTCATTAAATGTACCTCCAAATCCATATGATCAACAATGTGGATAATAGAGCCACCCCCTTCGCAAGGTCTTATTAAGTAACCACTAGGCAGCATCTCAGCTCTCACAAAATGCTGCACAGGAGGCATGCTTGGACCATTTTGAGTATTTTTAAGAGACCTCTCACATATCTAAGAAGGGAATACATCAGAAGAACAATTAAGAAACAAAATCAAAGGAATTTGAAATGTAAGCAAAAATATCTTTAAAGACACTCACCACAAAACTTCCATCTTCTAGAACAGAAGTATAGCGCAACAACCAAAAGTCTCGAGCAGGAGCCAATGTGGTTGGGGCATATAGCTGAATCAACAAATGGAGAAGCATGCAATTAAGGGATCTGGCACAAATCAACTCATACAGATAGCCATCATTCCTACACATTTTTTAGTGTACCTGCATATAAAGCAACTCTATAGTTCCACCATTTGCAGTGGGCAGCACATTCAGAACATCAACAGCTCGGCAATCACGAAACCATGACGGCCGATCTTTGAGGATTTCTGCGACCTGGAGAGTGTATAGTCAATCATGCAGTTAATAGTTCAAACAAGACCATGATAATAAAGATGATAAACCCCAAACACTTACTCTTGTGGGTTCTAGACCCACTAGACCACAGGCTCGTGCTGCCACACCAGTGCAACCATGAGAAATAGCAACGATTCCAATGGAATCCGGACCAGGCTGTGCAAATAAGCAAGAATTTAGCACACTTGAAAGTACGGATCATTCCTAGGATGGCATTTTTTCTGTTCTTGTAAAATTTTGTCAAAGCAGAAAGTTAATTACCTTCATTCCAGGCATTTGGACCCACTCAACAGCAGTCCCAGTAGCCTTTGAAAGAAACTCTGCTAAAGTCTCTTCTGCAATGGACAAGAGCCTAGAGAAACCAAAACGTGTAAAGTTTTATTTAACGTTCTCACATCAAGTGGTCACAAACCAAAATGACAGAAATGGCCGCAGAAACTACATTTGCACACTAACCCTGCAGGACTTGCATCCCTGGGGGATGCTGAGTTGTCAAACTGTGTTGGCCACTCGTCACGGCTGATTCACAGCTTGTGTCTTTGGTTGCAAGCGTAGTCTGCAGATGGAACAATAATAGTTACAACGGTTTCATAGCACTCCAGTGGAAACGCAGTCAGAATTCTTACGTTTTGAGTATGTTGGCGGAAGTAGCCATTTTCATACACCAATTGGGAGACCTGTTTCTGCAACCTATCATTCTCCTCCATCAGAAGCTTGTTCATGGCTGTCAGCTTCCTGTTCACAGCTTGAAGACGCGAGGCCTCTTTCCTTTGCTTCTCCCTGCACCTGAATTTACAGAAGCCAAACAAACACGATTGGAATAACTTCGTCAAACAATTCAATTATGGGAATGAAATTAAAAGATTAAAAGCAATATCTTGTTTTTGAAACAGAGAGAATTAAATTGCAACAGCTCGTAGGTGCAAAAAAGTCACATTACCTAAACCAAATGGTAAAATTAAGTAAGTGCTCTAGGGGGGAAAAACTAGATTATCAAATATGAGAGTTTCCACATCTTATCCATACTCGACCATTAGTTAAAGGCGTAAGAGAATATAGTGAAGAATACCTTCTGTTCTGGAACCAAACTTTGATTTGTTTGGGCTCAATGTTGGAGAGAATAGGACACTCACGGATGAGCTGCTGGCGGCGAATGGAACTGGGTTTTGGACATTCATGATAAAGCCTCTCGAGGGCTTCAACCTGCTCAGGTGTATAACGGACATACTTGCCGTTGTCCATTCCTGGTTTACCATCCTTGCAGGACATTGCCATAGCCAATTACTTCAGAGTTCTCAAACACAAACGTCAGAACAGACCCAGCACAAGCAGCTTCAACACTGCTCTCGACTAATTTCTTGATGCAGTTAAACCAGCCTCAAATACCCCTCTAAGAGAAAGCAAGCATTTGCCAATTTTGAACTTGAAGGATCAGGTGATAGAGGTAAAAGTACAAGCGTTTGAGGATGCCTGAAATGTTACGCAGTTTCTTTTGTTTCGTCCGTAAGAGACAGCCACCAACACGAGAAAACAGAAATCTTTCGAGATCAGAGCAAACAACACCAACGATCTGATTCCTGGAAACGTTCCGAAACCTAAACAGTTTCCCAAAAATCTAAAGCGAGAAAGCAGGGACACCTAGAAACGTTCTGCACTGATTCGATTCAGCTAACAAGTAAAATCCCAAAACAGAGACCTTTGAAGCATGATCCAACGTTTTGATTTTAAGACCGGACACCGCAAGTTTTATCAAGCCCACTTCTCCCTGACAACCTCAGGACCACCAAAACATCACAATACCTTGGATCTCCATCTTCTTCAAGATTCCATTTATGCTCTAGGCTATTCGAAACCTCCTGGATCCCTGAATCATTTTCCCCTTTTGAAGATTTCACAGCACCAAGCAGAAGAAGTGAAGAACAAAGGACATTGACTAAGTATTAGGAAAAAATATATCTGAAGAATCAAAGGTAGATATTTGTTTCTTTTTTTCAAGTGGTCTGGAAACCGCAATATTGCTTCTTTTTCCTTTATTTTCTCAAAGGGAACTAAACCTGGGATAGAGGGAAAACCCTAGTTGAAAGAGAAAGCAGAGGAAAAAGTACTGTTACTGGGCAATTGCTTTTGGTGGTGGTGTTGGTTTCATGTGTTTTGGTCCTGAGATTTGCTCTGTATTTTTCATTGGCTCGTCACTTTCGGCACACAGTTCTTTTACCTCCACTGTGTAGGAAAATGGAGCACCCTCTGTAATATTTTATATATTTTTCAAATGGGGGAAATGGTTTGCATGGACGAAAGTACCCTCTTTCGCGAGAGCCCGCCCCAGCACTTCCTGCGTTGCAAATTGTACGCATTCAGGTAATGTCATAATTACCCCCTTTCTCTCTTCCTTTTTCATGAATTCTGACGCTGAATTTAAATTTGATTGTATTTTTTGCATTGATCACGTGTTTAGTTTCATTTAGCCGATGTAATGTAAACCCAGACAAATTAAGAAAATTAACGAGGATGGTACTCCTCTGTTTAATATCATAAGAAACCTTTAATTGAATTATACTCAATAAATTAATTAATTATCTTTAAAATTATACACTCTTTACATGTTTATCTCTATTTGATTATCTCAATTAAAAAATCTTATTAATTATGTCCCTTAATTAATGATTTTTTAAAAAAAATATCATTTATTATGTCTTGAAAGATTTAAAATGTCTTATATTTTTAATATCTTACTTAAAAAAAATATTTTATAATTTTAAAAGAGATAATGCATAAAATAATTTTACGTTTGTATCACATTTTTTAGGCCATGGGAATGACAACTGATAGTAGATTTTGGCCATTAGATAAAGATAATATCATTCTCATGGTCAAATAAAAAATATAACTCCAATGGTTTGCGGGGGGAATATAGTATTTCTAATAAGTTTATCATTCAACATGGTTTTGTTTAAATAATTTTATAGTAGTAGGTTGATGTAAAAAGAAATGAAGCTAAATAAATTGTTATTTTTTGTGAGATTAAGATTATCCTTTTTTAATTTAAGACATGAAAAAAAAATGCCTACCTTTACTTTAATTACACCTAAAACTCTTTTCATCTTTGCCAACACTGCATAATTTGGCATCATTTTTCCACTCCCATGCTTTTATATGACCCGTGATCTTTTATTAATTTGCTCTACAATATATGATTGACTCATATTCTTCATATTTAATAAACATATCATATATCTTAACAATTACATGCTCTTATCTTTTTTGCATTTCCACCACCTATTATCGTCTTTTCTTCTTATTTATGGTGACTTTTGAGTCTTAAAATTACATCATTTTCTAATTCATCCTTCTTATCTTAGCTATCACTTGCTTGCTAAACGCCATCAAGGTTCTTCTCCTTCTTTCTACTTCATGTTCAAGATCTTTGTTCTAGAAAGTAAGAGAGCCATGGCAAAGGTCTCACTAATAGTGTTAATGGTGAAGGCCAACGAATCCAAGAAGTAATTGATTAGACATGAGAGAGGAGTGATAAACTATTTTTTAAGGACAATATAATAGTTTATTTTTTTATCTTACAGTCCTCATTCATGAATCTAACTACACAATCAAGATGCAATATTTGAAGAAAATCAAATCTGCATAGTATTACTAAAATTAGTGACTTCCCTTACGTTTTACTAAAATTACAGACTCCTTCTATTTTTAAAACCTACATTTTAATTCAATTTTTAACACCAATAGGAATATTTCATTAAAGATTTTAAAGTACTTTAATTTTTTATTTGTAACTATGTTAAAAAATTTAAAAATTATTAACTCACCCTTATGATCAAATCGTCTACTATCTCTCCCGATTTTTTTTTTCCAAAAAATTTAAATAATCAACTGTGTCAAATTTTAAATAATCAAGTGCGTCACTATTTAAATAAATAATTTTAAAAAGTTTGTGTTAAAATTAATGGAATTTAAAGAAAATAAACTTAAACTATATTGAGTAATTTATTATATTAAATTTTTATTTCATAATTTTTTAAATTTCATGTTTGAATATTATTTTAACCAATTCATATATTAAATTTGTTTAAAAATTGCTAAATAAATACATTTACATAATTTAAAAATTAAATATAAGTAAAAAATAAAAAATACATGTATGACTTTTTTTGGTAACATAAATAATTTTTAGACAATATTTATATTTAAATAAAAATATTTTGGTATAATATATGTGACTTAACAGTCAACTAATGATTAGATGAATGAAAATAAAATCTTAAAAATAGAAAAAATGTTTGTGTTTTATAACCATCCATGTTATAAAAGGATTCTATATGTTTAAAATATAAAAAGAAAATATTTTTAAATAGGGTAAAATTAAAAAAATGCCAAACTATGTTACTCTTTTATATTACCAAACCCAACCAATAAACATTAGGAAGAAACAGAGTGCATCAATATTACGAGGAATGTTGACACATAGAATTGAACTAAACAGACCAATAGCATATTATGGCGTCATTCATTCTTTTTGAGTTTTAAGAAAAGTAAAACACACACATATAGTGGCAGATGAGTGGAGGGGGCAACATGGTCAATGAAAGGTGACGAAATGAGGAAGCAGAAAGACAGAATGGCGAGAGCGTAAAATGGAGGAAAGAAGAGGGTATTAAGGGAAGATAATGGTTTCAAAAGTTAAAAAACAGGGAAAAAGGTAATAGGGGGGAGGTTGGCGTGGTGCAGAGAGGACACTATGATGACCTTTTTGCATGCGTCTCTCGATTTTTAAATATTCCTCTTAAAAATATTTACAATATTATTAAAAAACACTGAATCATTAATTAATTTTAAAAAATAATAAATAAAAAGTAATGGAGAGTAGGGGATGATAGAGGGAGGGTGGGTGGGTGATGATGATATTGTGCTGTGGCATCACATACGTGCCTCTATGCCTCATGACATGACATGAGGTATATAGTATGGCTATTATATTCATTAAAATTATTTGTTACACTATTAAGGTTAAAAATTGTTTACGATTTTATAACAAAAATGAATTATTATTCAAGGGAAAATGACATAGAAGAATTTTATAAGAATATCAGTTATAATTAAGAATACTAAACTTATAAAAATTCAAAAAAAAAAGTTATGGTCTTGTTTGAAAATAAAATTTTTTATTAAATTTTAAAAAATGACAATTAAGGATCCTCTAAAAACATTAATATTAATTAATGATTATAACATTTTAAAAATCTCAAGTAAGAATCATGGTTCTTAATTAGAATAAAAATGTAGTTTCTGGTGCGGGATTCACCAATCAAATTTGAAAAAATTGCCAACGTGTATTGAAGATATGAAACTCTACTTGAAAATAGGTTGTTTAACAAAAAGCGCCATTTGGTAATTCACTAACCTTGAAAAAATTCTAACATATACCCCACTTGGGAATCGATTCTTAAGGAAGGTTTCATCTTTTCACAATATACGTTAGAAATTTTTTCAATCGGGTTAGTGAATTATCAAGTAATGCTTTTTTTAAACAATCTATTCTCAAGTGAAGTTTCATATTTCACAATACACATTAGTAATTTTTTCAAGTCAGGTTAGTGAATCCTTAAGTGGCGCTTTTGGTTAAATAATCGATTTTTAAGTGGGATTTCATGTTTTCACAATATACATTAATAATTTTCTCAAGTTAAATTACTGAATTCTCAAATGATGTTAGTAAATCTCACCTCAAAAACTACATTTTTCATCTCAATTAAGGACTGTGGTCCTTAACTGGGATTTCAAAATGTTACGACTTTTAATTAAGATTAATATTCTTTAAGGGTCCTTAATTATCATTACCCTTAAATTTTTTCAATACCTATTCTCCATATTTTAAATACTCTTCTTTTACATTTTTTTAATAACCATCTTCAATATATCCTGTACTTAGTTTTTTTTTTTTTAAGTAGCCACTTTAAATGTCTTAAATACTCATCTTTCATTATTTAAGTATTGAAAACAATTAAGAATAAGTGTTTTTCAAAACTCTTAACCCTAAATAACATTCTTAGGGGTCTTTAAATGTCACTCTCCTGTTATTATTATTATTGTTATTATTATTATTCAATTTGAAAATAATATTAATAATTTGAACCAGATTGGTGAAAATTATGCAAGAAGAGTTACCTCATTTGTATCAAACAATGCTTGAATCTAATACCATATATCAAATAATTGTATAAGAAATATTTGACATATATAAAACTCGGTACATTATAAAGCAAAA